CTCCCGACAGCAGCCAGCAATAAATGGGTTGTTTTGGGACTCCTTTTGTTGGCATACTGGCATACCATACGAGCTTGGTACTGGTTGAAAGTTGCCTGTTGAATTCCCGGTCACCACGGAATTCGATGAGCTGGCCCACCTGCGCTATTGTGCCAGTCTCAACACTGATTTTGCAAGCCTTGAAGATGAAGATGCACCGCCCACACACTGTTCCAACAGGCCTTCAATAGCCTTCAACTTTTCTATAGTTTAAAGGCATTGCCAAAGTTGAATCGGATATACCAGAAACTAAGGAACTGGTGAATGTCAAAATTCTCCTGCAGGAGTTGCTGCAATCTGGAAAAGTGCCACCTGTAGATCACGACTCGGGGTCTTCGTAGAAATGCGATATAAGGACCTCAGATGCGAGTAGCATGTTTGGTATATAGTTCATTCCTGTGATTCCGTGGGTTAGCTTGCAACACAACGACTCTGCACTTTGGTTTCCTTGGGCCATTGTCCTGAGTCGTTTGGCTCCTGACTGTCTCCTGACTGTCGCGAGGCTCCTCCGGCACAACCTCTGCCACCAGCGCAAGCACCGCCGCCAGCACAGGTTCCACCACTGCAGACTGCCCCGCCTCCTCAGGTGCGGGGCAATTCTTGTAACGTCAACATGAGCCGACGTTCACTTTTTTCGTCCACGCCGAGGTCGTCGCTGAGGAGTAGCAATGACCGGTACGGAGTGATCGGCGATACAGGTAGCAACTATACAGTAACGTATGAATGTATATTATAAATAACTAAAAAACATATAGATATATAAATATCATGAGGGCATCATTGGTGAACTACTCAATTCGAGGGCTTCAAAATGAGGCCTTCAGACCCTGTTGACTTCCCTCGGCATCACACAAGAACAACCAACATTGATGCTGAAACCAAGACGTTTTGCCTTTCGTCTACTGTATACTTACTTGCTGTGCCCGTTCTTGTCCGCCAGGAAGCGCCTCCACCGCAGCCGCCGCAGGCAAATGGCTGATATCATTCGTTTCTTTGCAGAAAGATTTGGTTTGACCCGTGAAGAGAATAGCTCAGCGGGTGGAGACGCATGCAACCTTTGGGGGTTTGACAGTATATCAGATGTATCAGACTGGTGGAGCATGGAGCAGTACGAGAACCACATTCACTGTTGGTGGAGGCCCACATTTATGTCTGATAAACCGTTTTTCCAATCACCAGTGTTGTGTTCTCGTGCAGAACACCGCACGTCTGGTTTCGTTCCTTTTCGAAACCCAGCTGTGCAGGCGCCTCCTAAGACCAAGGCACTGGATGTCGCTGGATGTCGGTGGGCTTTTCTGCCCTTTTTGGAATGTCACTCCGCACGTGCTCAGCGCAAGACTGACCAGCTGTGAGTGCGATGGTCGCATTCTGCCGCATACTGCTTCTCAGAGCCAGGCTGTCCCTCTAAATGCTGGAAATGGTCCCACTGGTGTGTCCAAGACTTGGAGATGTCACAAGTGGAAGAAAGAAGTCAGCAATATTCAGCCATAAGGACAAAATAGGATAAACAATATTATTCACTCCAGACTCCATTGCAGCACACCTGGTAATGTGCGTTCTTGTTCCTAGGCCCTAGCAAAGTGTAGTGATGTCCAAGACAGAATTGGCCAAGTCTAAGACTGTAGTGATTGAAAGACTTGATTTCTGGTGATCTAAGTCGTGATTTCGACTTCCCAATGTCTCGAAAGACTCGAAAGAGACCTTGAACATCCTTGGACGACCTGCTTAAGAAGACTCGCTGCTTTTGTTTTGCCATGAAGCAATGTGCCCTTGGCATCCCTTGGCTGTTTTGGTACAAAAACCACCGAGCAGGCTCCAGTATTGCTTTTTTTGCTGACCAAACATGGTGCTTATTAGAACTAAGATGTGGCTAGTTTTCTTTGATTTTGTTTGTGGTTCCACTTTCTTTTTTAATATTGCTTGAATATGTTTCAACGCATTTGGTCAACATGAATTCGTGGGCGTATTTTGTGCACACTTTTCCGCTGTTTGCCGCCCTGAGGCCAAAGGGGCCGCCGCCCTCTGTGCCACCACAGGTGTGGGGAGCAATCGAGACGATGGTTCGATGGTCACAAAAACCACAACTGGGTCCACAAAAGTATACAAATGGTATCACACGGGTGTATTTGTTTGTTTTAACTGAACAGGTTTCTCATTTTAGGTTTGGTTTAACAGGAAAATTTGCAAAGCGTTGATTTTTCAAGAAGAACAACCCTGCTTCAGTTTAAGCTAGTCATGGACATCTCATGAACTCTCAGGCACCAGCGAGAAGCAAATTCCTAGATATCACCTGTGGCACGTGTGGCAGCGATCCATTTCAACGACCAGCTGTTTTTAGAAGAATCGGGAAACTTGAGAAAAGTGTGTTGAGCCCAGTGACCCACCAAAGGAAACTGCCCAACTTTCAGGCTTGAGACTGGCGCAGAGCGGCCTGAAATCTCAGAGAAGTGGTCAGCATGGGTGCACAAAAAATCCTAGGTCCAAGTCAACTCCCTCCCCGTTCTGTAGAAAGGTCTATGGCCATAGTCACATCCTTGCAGAAGGGGATAGTGACGTATCAAATCCGTGTGCATGAGTGTATTTTTGTGTCCTATCTTCTCCTAAGAAGTTCGATGATTTCTTTCTGTCTCACACACCTTGCTGACGTCTAGATTCTAGATCGGCACCAGATGAAAGACACTCACGCACTCGCTCCCTCCAATTATATATATATACAAGCTTACTGGACCTTGACCTTTTATGTCAACGATTCGCCCAGGGCCAACATGGAACTCTTCAACCGTCAGGTGCAAGCAATGTTTTGAAGTGGATAGCTTGCGGGGCAAGCCCAAAAAACATGTTGCGACATCTAACGACAGACCAGAGTGTGGCATCTTCAGCTCAAGATCAGTTGCACAGCATCTTTGGGCAGACTCGTGAGTATAAGTTCGCGTCATGTTCGCTGCTGGCCTACTTGATTTGGTCACGGGCACTTGGCGCGTTTGCAATTCTCTCTGAAAAAGAATATAGATCCAGGAGGTCAACCAAAGCGCCAGGGCCATTCATGGTCTGTCCGGTGTTGATGCTTTGATTCCTGAGCACACCATTGTCATTTCGTTTTGGCAAAGTCGATATTTAACCAAGAACCTTCAAAGGCACATTCCTACTCAGCACAGCTTCATTGCATTGCCCCTTGGAGAGTTGGTCAAAGTGATTGTGAAGGGCTAGATGTGAAGGTCATGCAAACCTTGACTAAACCGAGCTATGTTCACACAGTCAAGCCCTTCATTTGACCAACTCCGAATACCAAGCTGATGAAATTTGGCCAGCAGATAGATCGACAACGCAGCACGTTCTGGTGGCGTTTGCTGGGTAGCAATCCTGCGTTGTCGTGCATCAATTCAATCGTGGCACATTCCGTACAGACATGGAGAAGAGTACATTGGGGAAGGGATAGTCAAAGTCTCATTGTCGCATTGCCACCAAGACATACCAGATACCAATTAATTATGCACATATTGTCACATTCGCTTTTTATGCTTTTTTCTCGCCACAAGCAAAAAGCTACAGGGGGCAAGTGACCAACCCAGATGATCGCACATGTTAGATTTTACAAAAAGACCAGCGCTCACACCTTTATGCCTTGTTTGGTCCTTGTACACTGCTGTGTGAGGAGTTGTCGTGTTCTTCGATAATTATTCACCTGATGCCCTTCCCCGCAAGACGTACAGCGCTGGGGACTCCGAGCTGGGATTTGCTCGGCTCAACTCGTCGGGGTCGAAGACTGCGCCGGGGAAGGTTTGCTTCGATCAAAATTGGCCTAGGATTCTTCGCAGGTGTTTGGGGCAGTGCAGGGTCTGGGCAGCTTGAGAAGTTCGGACTTTATGTTTTCACGCTTTAAGATCTTTAAGGATCACCAAAGAGTATATTTATGTATTTTTCCATTCAAGTCAAAAATGCCTGTCTCACAGATGGTCATCGTGAACTGAGTTCTTGCAGACGGGGTCCCATCAAATGATTCACAAGCTGAACAGATTTCTCTTTGCATGACGAGAAGGCAGCTTGTCATGAAGACGCAGGCAATGTGATAGAGGTGACCAAAGGTGACCAAACTTGTTTGGCTTTAGCTGGCAGGCTGTCAGGACTTGCTGTTGCTGAATGGATATTGTTTTTGGGCACTGTACCCGGATCTGGCGGCTCTTTGCTAAAATTCCTGAAAGTGCTTGCCGAGGGCAGGCTGCCGACTTGAATGAGTGTTTCTGGCGGATTTTGACTGTGCAGTTCTAGGACATCCGGCGGCTGCTCGATGAGCACTGAAGATACTGAAGGTTCCACTTCATGAGCAGTTCAGACATGTTCAGACCCTTTCTCCCAACTTAATATGTGAAACAGGCCTTTTCGATGAGTGGCTCATCGAGTGGAAGCAGGATGAACGACCTTTCTCGCCACTGAACAAAGGCCCGCCCCAAGTTGTGAATCTCGTTTTCTCCATACCTGAAACCGTCCATAACCGTCCTATCATCGTTTCTAGGGCAGGCTGCGATAGCAACAGGCTGCAATGAGATGTGACGAGTTCGTTTTTTTTGAGAAACAGGCCCATTGATACCGGGTTCGGGTAGTATTTGTGGCCGCACTGTACCACGACTTGGGTAGCGACGGTTCGGGTGTTTGCAAGGCCAGGAAAAAGTCCCACGGCCCCGTTGGCCACTGGCCGTGCTTTCTCGGCTCCACCAGCATGTGCAGCTGTGGTAAAGTTGCCAACATGTTAATTGCCGATTCATAATGAATCATGAACCGGTTTTGGACATTCACAGGCACAAGATGCACAAGGAAGTTCGCAGACAGGCAGAGCCCACGAAAAGCTATTCCATTCACTTGGCAATGCAAAGTATTGAACTTGGCATTCCACACTACTCTCCCTATACCTCCCAACCTTTGAACACTCAGTGGTTTTGGAAGCCCAGTGTGACGCCTTTTCCTTCCACTGATCTCAAGGTAAGCTCACCTAATTAGTTACATTCGGGCTTCTTGGCCAGATGCTGCGAGCAGCAGGATGCTTGCAGGCGCGAATCAGATCGAAACAAATGCATTGTCATTGCCGCTCCTTCACAACGGCGCGCGCTAAAAGTGGGCAGAAGATCCCAGTCGCGATCGTGTACTTCAGTATTCAGGTCGGTGCAGATGCAGCCTTTGGGGGCAGCGACTGGCTAGAAATCGACTTCAAGAATCGAGGCCTGAGATGGGAAGGTCCAGAGCTGCGACAGCGACAGTGAGATGGTCAAGCTAGCATCAACAAGAAGTGCCTGAAGACGCGCCGGCGCGTCCTGGCGGGCAGGTGAACTTGTTAGATTTGCTGTGCGTGCTGTGACCAAATGAGAAGTGAATGGTCCTTTCTAGCATTTTCTAGCTGTGGGAAAGCTGGCCCATTGTTTGAACTTATGGAACAGATCCATGGAGGCTTGGCTTGTTTTGAAGAAGTACAGAAGTTTACATTCTGACAGAATCACACATAGAAGCAAGCATATTGCACCATCAATCCATCTTCTGTGGCCTCGGCTTCTGTTGGCCTCTTTTCTTACTGTATAGGTCTTTTAGCGGGTGAGAGCAGAATCATGAGATGTTGACAGGAGCATCTCAAGAAAAAAACTGACGAGCTTGAAGACTCCCGATTTCTTCAGCAGACGGAGCTTTTGCTCCAATGAGCCCACAAGGCCCGGTGGCGACATTTTGAGCGCCAGAGGGGTAACAGCATTCTTCCTGTATGGTTTCGAAAGAGATTTGCTAAGATTCTTTATCCCACGTGTTTTCCCTTGCTACACCTTGCTACTAGTAACAAGGGCATTGCGTTCGCAGCTTCTTGCTACTAGCGATGCACTGGCGTTCGGCAACGAGTCGTCGAGCCGTTCCTTGGAACTGAAGACGAAGCCGACGAAGCTGACGAAGCGTTCGCTTGCGTCACTGGGGAAACCGCGTCACTGCAAGTGATTGACTCGTCCTGTAGTGACGTGGGTGAGACAGAGATGGCGGGTTCCAAGAGACAGAGATGGCAAAGGAGTTCCATTCAGCTAGTACTTGCTAGCTGCTTGATACAACTGTTCTCCAGGCGCTTCAAGGAGTTCCAAGAGATGCTCAAGGACTGGTGTACTAATTCCATCTAATTCCATGATTCCCTTTCCTGTCAGTGACATTTCTGATGCAAGTACAGCGCAGATAGAGGGATACAGATACAGTTACAATATATCGCCATATATAATCCGCACAGTCTTTCTCTCACATCACAATCATGCCTACGGGTGGTTGTGTGGTTGCATAGAAAGTCTTTTTTGGAGCCAATTGGGGTTTATATATAAAGAGGTGGAAAAGGACCAAGGAATTCATGGGCCATAGGACCATCGGATGAGGGCTTGGTGGCATGAGAATATTTTTTTTAATGGGGTGAAGGCGCAATAGACATTCAGGAGACAGACTTGAGAGAAATGGACGAACCTAGAAAATCTGTAAAGCTGTAAAGTGGCACAGAAGGTTTCTCCAGGCCGGCTAGTATTATGACTTTCCATGAGCCTCAGGGGAGGTTCCCCAAATTGAGGGGAAACTGTATGCAACATTACATGTTACATTTGCATGTAGATTTCACTTGTTTTAGTGACACAGAAAGATAGTGTATGTGTTTGACCATGTCGCACTGTGTAGCCCCAAACATGAGGCCACCGTGTTGCATGTTGCAACGTTGTGTCCAAAGGAGGCTCACAGGCAGCTCACATGTTCATTGCCAAAGGGGGCTCACTCACAGAGAGCAGTTCATTTCATTGGATTGATTGTTGGATTCTAGATTTTGGAAGATGGCATGGCAGCCATGGCAGAGTCAGCTAGTCAGCTAGTCACTAGTCGAGTCTAGCTAGCTGCTAGCTAGCTGCTAGAATCTATCTATCTATCTGAATCTGTTCTATCTGAACCTATTCTACCTATCTATCTATCTATCTATAATTGCAGTATTGGTAATTAGTAACCTCAGTAAGAGCCTCAGTCAGTAGTAGTAAAGCACGGTCATCCAGGCGTTTGCTCGCGGTCAGCCAGGGAAGACCCGAGACTGCCATGGCCATGGCTCATGTGGGAGATGACGACATAGAAGACCTAGTGGAGGGCCTTCTCAGGCAAAGTCCAGACTCAGACCTTGTCAACGACACCACAGTGGATGATCTGATCATTCATTGTTCCCAGGAAACGGCGCAAATGCTTCAGGAAGAAGCAGACTGTGATAGGTCCGTGACAGGGGCTGAAGACGAAGATGGAGACAACAGTGATCCAAATTCGAGTTCGTCAGCCAGCCACACTCCGAGTCCCACTCAACATGTCAAGACAACGTGTTGGTGGGCCCCTAGACTCAAGGCACATCTTTCCTCCCATGCCCATGCTCTTGACTCAATGTCAGAGAATCTCCATCCACGAGTGCTTTTGTCTGCGTGTTCGGGGTCCTGCGCTGAAGCAGAGGCTTTGACAGCTCCCCGGCCAGGGATGAGGGGCAAGGATGGGGTTGGCAGGCAGCTGATACTGTCTGATAAAAAATAGTCAGTCAGATAGTTAGGAACTGTACTACTACTACTACTACTACTACTACTACTACTACTACTAACAACTACAACTACAACTACAACTACTACTACTACTACTACTACTACTACTACTACTACTACTATAATACTGTACTGTTAAACTGTTGCTGTTACTGTTACTGTTACTGATACCGGGTACCTGGGTACCTGATATCTAGTGACTAAGTTATACAGTACAGTTAATAGTGTTATGGCAATGGTAGTCACTATACTACTGTTACTTACCACACTATACTAATACTATACTATACTATACTATACCATACTCTAATACTACTCACTCATTGTACTTGTACATTGTACATATTTCAAGTTAGTACTCACCAAGTCCAAGTCGTCCGGGTGAAGAGAGGAGATGATATGAAGGGGTCTAAGTCTAAGTCTAAGTCTAGGTTAGGTCCCAGGTCCAGGTTGAGTCTAGAGTCGAGTCTAGTCTAGCAGCTAGCTAGCAGCTAGCAGTCTAGTCTAGCAATGTAGGTAGGTTTTTGTTGTCTGGTAGAGCCCGCTCCTGCTGGCAGCAATGATTACTGAGTACTGGTACCTGGTACCTGGTACCTGCTGCAGCTTCTGCTGCTGCGAGCTAGCTTGCTGCATAAGGTTCTAGATTCTAGATCTAGTGACTAGTGACTAGTGAACCTAGCAGGACTAGTAGTGTAGTATAGGTCCATAGTCCATAGGTGACAAAGCCCTGTACAGTGACTATGACTATGACATATCATTCAGAAAACTCTTGCAATCTGGGCGTTGCCACTGGGCTGGCCCAGCAGCAAACTATGAGCAGGATGACTATGACTAGGACTAGACTAGGATCGAGTCTAGAGTCTAGAGTCCTAATTCTAGAGTCTAGGGTCTAGAGTCTAGAGTCTGGTCCAGACAGTCTAGTCTAGTCAAGTCTAGACTCTAGACATGTATAGACTCTAGACTCGACTAGACTCTAGACTCTAGACCTGGTAGGTCTGGGTCAGGGGTGGCCACTGTAGCTTATCTGTATGAATATACTACTAGAATCTAGAATCCTGCCATACCAGGCTCTGGGCATTCCATTTGCTCTCATGGCAGCGGCGGAGAAGAATCCTCTATACCAGAAGGTGATCTCTGCGAACCAAGGCAGCAAATTGAAGCACCTCTATGACTCTTTAGAGAGCATGGTTGGCAGGGGGCCTTGTGTGCGGCATCCAAATTGTCACGAATGCTTACCAAGAAAGCTGGAAGTAAGCCTGGGGGTGACAGGCAGTCCTTGCAACCCCTATTCAACCCAGCGTTGCAAACGGTTCAGCGATGGAGGAGTTGCATCCCATTCCATGGACTCCACCACAATGACTTCTGTGATTCAGTTTTATGTTACCTGGGAACCACATGCTGCAGTGACAGAACAGGTTCGGGGGTTTGGGATGCGGACCAGCGCACAAGATCCTGAACCTCCCTTGAACAAGCGTCTTAGCTGAAATGTGGACTGCTCCGAGTCTGTTGAGCTAGCTAGCTAGCTAGTCAGCTAGTCTAGTCAAGTCGAATCTAGTCACTAGTCACTAGTCGTGCTAACTGCTAACTGTTACAACTTCTTGTAATTGTGGATTGTAAATTGTAGCATTGTAATTGTAGTAGCTGTGTGTGTAACTACTGTAACCTGGTCAGACTCACATTGACTCGACTTTGGCATGGTATGGACATCGACTTGTGACCATGTGACAATGGATTGCTTCCAATGTTCAGCCAAAGAAGACCCGAGACATCAGCCAGCATCACTTGTTTTTTTGTGTTTGGATATATAGTAATAGATCATCAATGTATTGTGATATATGACAAAAAATGATTGTTATATATATAAATACCATATAATGTTATCATACTATGGCATAGCAGCATAGCAGCATAGTATGGCCAGCGGCTTGACTAGTGACTAGTGACTAGGACCTAGGACCTAGCAGTCAATTTATATATTACTGCGGCTAATCAGAAGAAGAATCTAGAATCTGAATAAGCCCTTGTCAGACTGTGCGTCATATAATTATACACACCGTCCTATCAATTCACTGTAGGTTCTTGAACCTGATGAACCAGCAGCAGTGGCAACATGGCGGCTACTTCTACGTGAAGCTGGAGATGGATTCTGCTATATGGGTGAAGATAAGCCGCCCCAGGCCAGGGAGGGAAAGGGGCTGCTAGCTAGCTGTAGCTGCTGGCTGGCGACTGGGGTGATTGTCAGATTGTCTTTTGACTTTTGAAACTGGTGTCGGTGTCAGGTGTCACAGTGTAATCATCAGGTACCCAGGTAACCAGGTAACCGGTAAACCAGGGTCAGGTAACCGGTGGGTTAGGGCCAGTTAGGGCCAGGGCCAGGGATGTAAGTAGAGTCGAGATTCGATTTCAGTGTTCGGTTGTCAGATTTGACTTGACTTGACTTATTATTTTCTGGCAATTGCACTGGCTCCCAGCAGCAAAATTGCTGGTGACTCGACTCAAGACTCCTCTACTCTACTCTAGACTCAGACTCTAGACACTGTAGACTCGACTCTAGACTCAAAACTGAACAAACTGTTCACTATCACTATCCTGACCAGCACTCAATAATGGCACAAAATCAAATATCAATTCTTATGTTGGTTGCTGCTTTGAACGAACCGCTCCAGTCTCAGTATCAGATCGGTAACAGTAGGTAGTGAGGTAGTAAGTGACTAGGACTAGACTAGAGTGACTAGAGACTAGTGACTCGTGAATCATTTTGCGGGCGCTGCTAGCTGGTTGCAGCTGCTACTGCTATGGATGATTTCAGCCAAGAAGGCCAGGGCCTATGTAATTTGATAGATTCGCTATTGGGCGGCAACAAAGCTTCTTCCTCTTCTTCTTCAGTTCCAGCTGCTGCTGCTGCTGCAGCCGCAGCCACTGAGACCGAAGCAGACACAGCCAGAGGAGCTCCAGCTGCTCCACCTTCGCTGGAACCAGTTGTGCAGGAAGAATCAATTGAGGACCTTGTGCAGGGTCTTCTTCAAGCAGATTCTAACCCCAGTTCTAGTCGTGCTGAGCCTGCTGCCGCGCAGCCAGGTCCAAGGCAGCCAGTGCCACATGACCACCTAGACGTACGCATGTTTGGCGACCCAGCTGAGATTGCATGCATTGGCAACACTATCCAGCGTGGACTTTACAACAAATTTGTGTTTGCTTGTCAGAAAGGTGAGAGAAAGCAGGGGCCAATGACTCAAGGTCAGGTGGTGGTGCAAAACTTTGTGCAATCAAGTACCATGAAGTCTATTGCTGCTATTGCAGAAGCATCACAACGCAGCATCAAATTTATTACAAACGCTTTGCAATCTGCGGCTTGCACAATGTTGATGGGCGCTTCATGGATGTTGGGAATGAATCTGGTTGCATGGAAGAACCTCTTTGCTGCCAGGAAGTTCACTCCTCTGGCAATCATACACAGGTTCAAGTATGATGAGACGCCTCTTCGAATGCGGCAGGCAGAGTGGAACAAGATGTTTCATCCAGAGAATGCCCAGCTTGATCTTGCATCTGAAAAGGAAGAATAT